TTTGGAAGATGCAGAGTTGGAGCAGTGGTGAGAGGGAGGGAGGGAGGAGGAGGGGAAACCAGTAAAATGTCAGTTGTGATAGCAGCATTGCAGTGCCCCGGAGATATCTGACATCTCGTTCCTAACATATTCCTTCACGTATGGAATATGCTATAAAAATTCCCGGGGCACTCAATACTTTGATCATATGACACACAATACATTTCTTTCCCCTTTAAACAAAACAGAACCAAGCTGTGAGGATTTTAAAAAACGTGTCCTCAGAGCAACCTTCCCTCTTCAGAAACAAAATCCAAAAGCCAAATGAAAGAAAATCCAGGGAATTTCTCCCCTCCATCCCTGCTCCCAGCTCTCTCTTTTGCAGTGACTCCCTTTGCAAACTGGCAATTTAACAGGAGCTAAAAAGTTTCAAGGTTGAGCCAATAACTGTTTTGTGCGAGGAGCAGAGCATGGGAAATTCAACCAGCAGGTAAATAAAACCTTCTCACTCCAAACGGTCTCTGGATATCTCAAATCACTTTTCTCTTATAAATCCATTTCACTCTGTTCTTATATGAAGTTTATAGGTTCAGCGACCTTAGAAGGTTCTGAAGTTCAGTGCAGAGAACATTTCCTGCTTGAAACAAACTCTGGAATGAAACAGTGCCAGGTAAACCAGATACAGCCAAGGGTTAGGATTTCAGTGCATCTCCTGTAAACATCATGGATCCAAAACAAAGAGGAGGTTCTCGTGGGTCTCTGTAAAGTGCTTCGAAGGTGGACAACAAAAATACTCAGCTCAAAATTTTACTGAGGTATCCTGGAGGAAGAAATGGACTTGTCCTAGTGTTTGGAGTGAGTGATCACAGCTGGCACTGCCTCTTTCTGCAATTCTGCATGGAAGTCAGCACAGCTCTGTAACTCAGCAGCTCTCTTCCACAGAGATGTGACTGCAGATGGATTTTATCGTGAGACATCGTTTATTTGCACTCAAAACTGAAATGTGCAATGCTTCGAAAAATTAAGGCTTCAGCCAGACCAAAATATGTATTATAAAATGACAAAAAAAACCCATGAAAATTCAAAGCAAAAGGCTGAAAGTTTTGCCATTCAAATGAAAGATGTGAATATAAGACCCCAAAATCTAAAATCTGGGAATATCCTTTAGTCCCTAGGATAGCAGGAACGGACACCACTCTTGGCTCTCTGCTCTTGTGTAACTTACATTTTGCTGAGAGATTGTATCCTCCGAGAGGTGTGGGATGCCCTTCCACTGCATCGAAACCAGACGACACCAGCACAACATCTGGGGCAAATTCGTTGGCAATGGGCATGACCACCGTTCTGCAACATAAATGGAACCATGGCAGACATGTTATTTTGGCTCTTGGACAA